TAGACTGGTAGAGATTCGTTCTCGGTATCAGTCGGGAATTTTGCTCCCTATCCGGGCGAACCTCTCGCAGATAGCCAAGATGCCGATGTGGCCGCCGATGAATAAGACGAGGATGGCATTTCGCCCGAAATCCTCTTTATCGGCCTCCCAACATGCAAGCCACACTCCATGCTTTTACCCTTCTTTCACAGAAGTACACAACCAGTGACGTCACAGGGCTGTTTTGGCCGCGCCAAGATGGCCGCCAATTTTGATCTCAGCCGGTCAACTTCGAATGGTTAAAAATGTACTTTCCGCTATGCGTTGGCCCAAAAAAAGTACACAGCGTTTGCAAATAACGTTCAAACTCTATTATATTGCAAAAATCTCGGATATGAAAATTACGTTTCAGTAGCACTTTAACGCTCGAAAATGAAAGGAAAAATGGTGTCTGTTTTCTTGTCAAAAGCGCGGGACAATCGTAAAAATTATGTCTGGAAATAATTACCCATTCAGAATGAGATTGTACTGTATGGTACTGTTCGGGTTCGGATCGGGAGTTGCGTGACATCGTTGAGCCTGCACAGCCAAGCGACGATCTTTAGAGTCAACACTAAGTTGAAGGAAGATTCTTTCATTGACTTTTACTCCAATAGGGAAGCTTTGATCACCATAGGGACGAGTATACCCTTGATCTTTGAAGACTCCCAAGTTTATGTCGAACATTCCAACATCAGAGGCGTTGCCTCGGATAATTTTTCTGCTGGTTTCTAGCTGAATGGCGCTGGCTTGGACCTCCTTTAGGTAACAGCATCTGAAGTTTAAAATTACACAACAAGAATTTGTGCGTTGAACGGATATACCTCATTACTTTACCAAAGGCCCATGACGACAAAATTAAGGCGACATCTAGAGCTTCCCGAAAGCTGCATCTCATTTTAAGCGCTTCGGCACGTGCGTTTCATCGCTCACGGAAAAAAAAATGAGGTCTTGAGTATCGCGAGTCAGTGAGAGGTCTGCCATGCGTCTAGCATTCATCTATAGTGCCAGTCCCCCGGCAAATCTCTCCCCATCAAATAATTGCTGTCTGTTTCTGCTTTAGCTTACCATGTTTTGCTGTTACTACTTAAGAGTCACATTCTTGCAAACAGTTATTAGTTTTGATATTAATTAATTATATTAATGTAAACAGTCATTAGTTTTTGATATTATTAATCTGATGAAGTTATGTAAATAGATGCTGAAAAGCCCCTTGGGGAGTATCTAGTAAAGTTTCCTTCTTTTTTCTGTTATTCAGTAGTGCTCGCGTTTACTGCAGCACCAATAAGGCGTGTGAAGTGCGGGAATAACATGCGCTTCCGGTACGCGCGATTACACGCGTGCTCTAGAAAAATTACACAAATTACACAAATGCATTCATTTTAATTCGTCCTTTGTCTGATGGTTTGTAGCAATCTTGACTCAGATTACCCTTATACTTTCCTATTTTTGTTCTTTTGTTTCTCTTGTACAATACTACTAGAATGCTAGAGAAAAAAAATTCAGGTCTATTTACCATTCGGCAAAAAAAAAAAATAAATAAATGAAGCACTAACACGACTACAATACCTGAATGGAATATCTACGTCCGCTAGCCTTGTAATGATGCCTTGTGGCGGCTTCTCTTGGATAGTGTTTTCGTAAATGAAGAAGTTATCCGTATCTATCAGCTTCGTTCCACACGAAGTAAAGTTTGTTTGGAACAGGAAGTGTGTCCCGTTATCTGTTGGAAGGCATTTCGGGTTGTTTAGGCGAATGTCAGTTCTGCGCATGCCCATAAGGAACGACTTGTCCAGAATCACCTGTATCAGCGTCTTTCCACAGGAAATTGCTAAATGCTCGTTTATGACTAGAATTTAAAAACAAACAAACAAAATTAAACAAAAAACATACAAGTTAGAAATTCAGTTATTGACTAAGTGCGGCAGAGGTCGAATACTTTCGGATATCATTGACACACATGAAGCTTGTCCGTCGAAATCTTACATTCTGTAAGCATATTTTTCCACTTGCGTTTGAGAGGGGAGCTGGAGAGAAAGCTTTATTAAGGGGAACGTTTATATGTATTCTGAGGTATTGTCAGTGTTGAATTGATGAACACCCCTATTAACTGAAACGGTAATAATATGCCTGACCCGCTTGAAATAAGGTTTTCCTTCTTTGTTTTCAAGGGAAACTTAATTCATACCGGGGAGTAGGTGGCACTTTTTAGATTTTAGATTTAATGTTTGTAGATTAATTTATTTCATTTAACTTTGGTATTAATTTTGAACGTTCTCCACCATCTTAAAAACTATACCCATATTATCAATAGAACCTTTACATCAAAACAGATTTTAAAATGTAATAGCAAACCTGTGAAGCCTCCAGTTGCACCAATGTTTTCTTCTTTTTCTACATCCGAAAATTTGACAAAATATTATTCGCAATTTCAACACAAGACCTTAGGTTAGGATATTATTTGTTGTGTTCGACTGGTTCATGCGTACAAGCGAGTCTGATTCATCGATAAGGTAACATCACGAATCAGGACGCCGAAACGGCGACAGTGAAAAAGTCGTTCTCCGATGGACCCCTAAGAGTGACTAGCATCTAATTTCTCCTGACCCCCTCCCCCCATGTTCCTCAACTCCTTGACCCCTAAGAGTGACTAGCATCTAATTTCTCCTGACCCCCTCCCACCATGTTCCTCAACTCCTTGACCCCTAAGAGTGACTAGCATCTAATTTCTCCTGACCCCCTCCCACCATGTTCCTCAACTCCTTGACCCCTAAGAGTGACTAGCATCTAATTCCTCCTGACCCCCTCCCCCCATGTTCCTCAACTCCTTGACCCCTAAGAGTGACCAGCATCTAATTTCTCCTGACCCCCTTCCCCCATGTTCCTCAACTCCTTGACCCCTAAGAGTGACCAGCATCTAATATCTCCTTACAGAATCAGCCCCGAATCATACTTCAAGGTCACGAGAATAAAGGAAATGATCACCAACTAAAGAAGCCCTTGATTGCTTCACATATTCTCCTTGTCAGAACCTTAGCAAATGTACATAGAACAGAATGGAGAATTTGCACAGTTATATTATGGTGTAGAGGGCTAAAGGATTCAACCCTCCTTGACTCTTAGTGCTAGTCATGCTATCGTTTTTCACCCGTGCTGAACCGAAGATCCGGAAGAAGTATCACTTAAAAACAGTGGAACCTCGATTTAACGAACCTCAATATAACGAAGACCTCGGTACAACGAACGATACTTCATTTTCAGCCCGGCTAAAGTTACAGTAAAATGTATGCCACAGAACCTCGAGATAACGAACCAATTTACCCAGTCTCTTAGCACTTCGTTAAATCGAGGTTCCACTGTATCGAAGTTCTGTGGCATACATTTTATTGTAACTTTAGCCGAGCTGAAACTGAAGTATCTTTCGTTATACCAAGGATTTCGTTATATGGAGGTTCGTTAAATCGAGGTTCCACTGTAGTTTAAAGGAGAGGTTGAAATCTCCCTTTTTGGCGCATTTTAATAACCATATCTATTTCATTTGCACAACATAAATTTATGGATAAAAAGTAACGCCACTAAACAATGACGTTTCGGCGACAACATGTCACCATTAGGGATCTTAAGAAATCACAACGGTGACGCCAAGGAAGACTTCAATTAAAAAATTAAACTGTCTCATACAGCGCCACAGCTTAACTTCACCATGATGTATAAAGTAGCCGTTGAGTTCTGAAATGGAAATTAAAATAATTTGCCGTCGCGTTTTCGGTTCGCAGACGACGCAAACTTTGGCTATTTCACCTTGTTTTGCATAGGACGGCTAAGAAATGTACAAAGTTTCAAGACGCACGTGCTGAGCTATTGTTTTGCCAATTAGATCTCTTGTTTTTCCACGTCCTCGTTTCCGTCGCCGTCGTGGTTTCTTAAGGTCCCTATTATCAAATGCAAACGAGAAAAGACTCCAAAATTGCAACAAAACTTTTCACTTATTTTTCAATGTTATGTTTTCTACCTTCGTTTTCTATATATATATATATTGGTAATCGTTTCTGATTTACACTGATAATGGTGACATGTCGCCGCCGACACATCATGGTTTAATCAAGTTGCTTTTTTCGTTAAACGCTTTTCAAAACCTTACTTTATCAGGATATAAATTCATCGTTTCCACCTTTACCAGGGTCACAATAGTTATCGCTGTCATAATCCTTAACGTTATTATCATTATTATTATTGTTTTCATCATTATTATGACTTAAGTTTACAAGCCTTATTATTTACCTCTACAATCAAAGCCGTCCCCAATGTACCCATCCATACAGGAGCACTCGTACAAACCAATGTTGTTGATGCAAAAAGCATTCTCGTCACAAATATCAATTCTTAATTCACATTCGTCAACGTCTGAAAAGCAGAAAACATTTGTCGTTTAGATCTTGCTAAAACTTTTGGTTCGTTATGGTGACATAGAACGAGAACGAGGTTTTATTTGTTACGCAATCTCTTTCGTGTCTCGTGAAGGGCGTTCGTGACGTATTTCTGTTCTGGAAAAACATGGACGATAAATGAACGAGTGGGTGAATGATTGAAACTTATCACTATAATTATCTTTATCTCTCATCAAGACAATCAGGCTCGTGGTGGAGATGATTTCGTGGAGCTATGTCTCACTGTTCGTCGTTGAAACTTGCCGTTGTTCGGAAGGAAAGCTTGGACCCTGACACTTCGCACGGGCAGATGGGAAGGGGAGGGAACAAGGATGACTAGAGATGCCGAAGATTAACTTAACAAGGATTGCTAGTGGAGATAGTGAAATTTACTAAGATGGACAAATCAGGAAGTGGCCAAATTTGAGCACTCCATTTCTTCTTAATGACAATGATCATAGTTACAGAAACAATCTGTGCCCACCTGCACAATTCTGACCGTTGCCAGTATACCCCATTTTGCACATGCACGAGAAGACATCATCTTTACTCAGACATACCGAGTTGGTATGGCACTTTGTACATGCATCAGAACCTTCGAAAAAGAATACAGGCATGTATTTGAAACTATATCGGTTCCAGGATTTTGTTTAATAATCATACGCGGCAATTTCCGGTAAGCGCAGTGCTTAGACATTCCTATTTGGAGGGCGATAATATCGTATGAAGCCTTTTCATTCGCGTAGATAACTAAACTGTGAATCTATACAAGCTGGTTGAAAAACACTTCAACTGTGTCGTCATTTTTTCAGAATTCGATACATCCTATAAATAGGCACACAACCACAAAAGACACACGATAAGTTAGAATCGTGGAAAATTAGTCGTGTAACTTCATGCAAGAGGCGAATGTCATTTACTGGTTTGCTGAAGTCCGGATCGAGAGGCAGGGACCCGAGCCTTGTAGGGGGTCATTTTATAACGGTCTTGGGCAACGCACGTTTCTCTCAAAATAGCAGGAAATCGTGACAACTTCTGACGGGTTTTAAGCTGTGACGGAGTAATATCTCGTCCAGGGGAGTGACAATACCTATGCTAGCTTCATTTTAAAAAGATTAAAGATTAATAGTACTAATGCTAATAATAATAAAACAGATGGAGCTACGGCATGATCAATGACTTGGGTCAAAAGACTTATTCTTACCAACCCAATCTGCTCTGATGGAACAGAAATAAATAGAAAGTAAGAATAAAGGACAAACGACAAAAAGAACCCAAAGTATAACTAATATTACCTTTCACACCGTCATTAATGATCTTTTGGGCAATACCAGTTCCATCATCGTCATCGTTTATTTGGATAACGATTCCTTTGCTGGGAGCAAGTCTTGACAATTCATCTAAGTTTGCCAGAGAACCAACTGCAACGGGCAAGACGGTAATACCGCTATCTTCAAGCTCTTTGGCGGAGATTGACAACACTTGAGGATAGTTCACTGACTTTTGATCAATCAAAACTACCAGTATCTTCTTGGCGCCTGGTCGCGGTGGAGCACTTTCAAACATTTTCTTTGCTTGATCGAGAGCATTTTTTAGGTTTGGTGTCCCTTTAGGTCTCACCACCGCGTTTATCGCGTCTTTAAAGCCTTGCGTGTTCTTAAAGTCATCTATGAAATCGATCTTGGTACTGGCTTGTTCTCCACATGTGATTAATGAGTAGCGTGAATTCTTTGTTCCGTATTCGTCGATGATAACTTCCACAGTTTCTTTCATGATCTTCAGTGTTGGATCAGATAATGCGGCAATTATCACTCCAAGATCAATTTTTGGAGCGACAGCTGAATAAAGAAAGGAAAAAGTTAAGAAATTGGAAATATTTATAATGCCCGTTTGAAAAAATCTTACAAGTACCTTGGCAAGTTGTCCGGTCTCCTGTGAATCCTGGTTTGCATGTACAACTGTATAAGCCGTTACTATTTATACAATTAGCGTTCTTGTCAGAACACAACACATACACACACACACTTAGACATACATATATAAACAAATGGAGAGGTAGAAATACTTTTAGTGTGCAAATAGCCTATTTCTGCGCAACAATCAATTAGCCAATAGCCACACCACCAATGACAGCCATAGCGCTTTCACAAAATTTCAAAATGCTGAGGGAGAACGAGTTCCTAAAGTGAGTTTCACTTTTTCATTTGCAGCTCCTTGATCTCTTTATGAAACCTACCTTGGCACGTTGTCCCATCCCCAGTGAACCCTGTCTTACACGTACAGCTGTAGGAACCTCCAGTATTAGAACAGTCAGCATTTTCGTCACACGGGCTACGCTCCGCTAAACACTCGTCAATGTCTGAAAAAGTAATGGACACATGGTAGTTCTTTAACCTCAACCACTTAGTTGTCCTTCTGAATTGAAACCTACCTTGACACGTTGTTCCATTGCCAGTGAACCCTGCCTTACACGTACAACTGTAGGAACCATCACTATTAGAACAGTCTGCATTTTCGTCACATGGGCTAAGCTCCGCTGAGCACTCGTCAATATCTGGAAAAAAAAAAAAAGTAATGAACATATAGTAATTCTTTCATCTCAACCACTTAGTTGTCCTTTAGACAAAGAGGGATGAAGATTTCTTCAGGACTTTACCATTTGTTTAGTTCAGTTTTTAGTAGTTTGGCACCCAATTTGCGCAGAGATTGCAACAGCGAAAAGTGTTGATAACCTCGTAGATGAGAAAGAGGAGAACTTCCTTTCATACTGGACCGTAGACGTTTCCTTATTGATCCGTGAACGTTATAGACATGTTGTTGGAGTAGGTAAAATGTGATGCGCGAATGCTCCAGTGAATGATTGGCAACGAAATCTACGACACAACGCAACATCACCTCTTTACGCTTTAATTTCGTTCATATGATTTCATGTACGGAGTAGGTCTCTGCTAGTTGATGAAGGTGCTCTGGACAAATCGTGCTTCATTTTAAAAATGACAAACGAACAATGTTGGCGGGTGATTCCGTTGAGTCCCTGTTTAAAAGAAAAGCTGTACGAAACTTCACTGCTGATGTAATCACCATTCTCGTTACTCAGTCTTGACTCCCTAGAACACTAAAATCGGCTTTTAGTTTAAGTAAACCGAATAAAGAAGGGGCGGTAAAGGGGGTGAAACGTCAGCTTGCTTACTGTACACTCAAAACAATCTTAGACATATCCATTGAAAACGAAATCCACAAACTTATCACTTGTATTTTATCCATTATTTTGCATAAGTACCTATACAAGTTTTCCCATCGCCACCGAAGCCTTGTTTACAAGTACAGCTGTAAGAACCGTCATTGTTGGTGCAGTCTGCGTTCTCGTCGCATAGACTAGAATCCGCAGAGCATTCATCGACATCTGGTTTTCCATAAAAAAGACCCAGAGATGGTCAATATTTGCAGAAATTTACTGAATCAATCTCAACGAAAAAAAGAATGAGTAAACAAATATTGAAGGAAGGTGGTTGAAAGGACAAGATAAGGAGCGTTAAACTGAGCTTTGTTTCAGCTGAAAATTTTGCATAAACGATGTGTAAACAGAGCCGAGGTAAAACTTTGTAATGGATTGATTTTAAATGGTGAGTTAAAAACGAAATAATTACACAACAACTACCAAAAAACGAGATGAAAGAAAGATCACTGAAGTAAACAGTGACAAGAAATTCGTGTTGATTGGCTCTGAGGAACAGTGTCAGTCCAAAGTCAGGAACGCCATAAAACACCTCTGGGTACATTTTTCCAGGACAAAGGCACCATATCCTTTGATTTGTAAATCTGGAGGACGTAGATTCATGAATATATAGCGTGGACGAAGGACGAGTACGTATGTATACGCTTAAGCCACAACGGATCGTCCCCTTAGTTTTGCGGGGTAAGATTTGGGTGGTTATCAAATTTTGCAAACCTTGGCAGACTCCACCATTTCCAGTAAATCCTTGTTTACAGGTGCAGCTGTAAGAACCGTCACTGTTTATACAATAGGCATTGCGCTCACAAGGACTGGAGTCCGCAGAACACTCGTCGATATCTGATTTTTGAAGGATTATGAAATTATACCGTAAATTGTTGACGACAACACGTACAACAAAACTTTTTAAGTGCAAACAACGATGCGAATGTCTTTCGGTGAAACTGCAGTGTCGCTACTAACGGATATCATTTATAATCATCTACAACTACCCTTGAAATAGAAATAAATTTAAGAAAGATGGAGATATACAAAGAAAATAACCAAACAACGAGAGAAAGAAAGATTAAAGCAAAGTTAAACAGAAACATGGACGTTGCAACGGTTTATGATCAGCGAACGAACCCTGGCATGTTGTTCCATCTCCTGTAAATCCTGTTTCACATTCACAACTGTATGATCCATCGACGTTCGAACATCTAGCGTTTTTGTCACACAGACCGGGATCGGCGGAACATTCATCGATATCTGAAGAGAAATCAGCCTATCAGCAGTGCTCTTTTAGGAACCAGTGTTAGAATAATTCGAGAAAGCCATGACTATGATTTAAATCTTCTAGAGTTATTTTTTGGGAAGTATTGTTTAATAAGATACGATATGGATAGGGTTAGAGTAAAAAAAGTCGATGTGATTGGCTGAGTGTATGCTTGGTCCAATGCTACTGCTACTGATTTTAAATGCATTTGAATGGAGGAGGAGAAGGAGATTCTCACCATTAAAATATGACACTGTGAAAGAACCCTCAACTCTTGGATGCTGTGTACACATGTACAAGATGCGTTTTGTTTAGTCACGTTTTAAAGGTCCATTGGAGAAGGTTTGAAGTAATGATATTAGTCAAGAATTCAAAGGCACGAATATAGAGTGCAGCAAGTGAACAGAAAAGAGCGTCTTCCCTTTGCGGAAGAACTTGGCTTGAGATTCAAAGTGACGACAACGAAGTGGATAGTTTTGCAATGTCGCACACCTTGACAAATCCCATCACTTCCAGTAAATCCTTGTCGACAAGAACAGTTGTAAGAGCCGTCGCTATTGGTACAAGCGGCGTAATCACCACAAACACTTGGCTCTAAGGAGCACTCGTCGAAGTCTAATAAAATCAAGACGAAAATTTTGTTATCTCAATGTAACGCTGGACAAACGCATTTAAAGGACTCGAAGGTCTTTATAACCACTATAAAGAGTAGATACCTTTACAGCTTTCTCCATCTCCATCAAATCCTCGCTTACAGGTGCAGCTGTACGAACCATCACTATTAATACAGTCAGCGTTCTTGTCGCATGAAATGGAGTCCGCAGAGCACTCGTTGATATCTGATTTGAGCGAACAGTCAAATACAATGAAGGTGTACCCAACAAGGCAGGCGGGCGTACACGTACGCCGTCTACGTAAAAAATGGATGCGACAAAAGCAACAAGAAATGATAGGACGAAAGACCGCTCGTGATATATGTAAAAAGTCTACTCGAGAAGTGGTGCGTTGATAATTCATAAACGTAATGAACGATCACCATGACATTCGAAGACCGTCTTGTGATGATAAATATAAACTTGCGTACACAAACCATAGAAACCGTAAAAATTACGAAATGGCCACAACAACAATGAAAATATAGAACTTGCGATGGTGATGCAAGATTGATTAGAGAAAACGATGGTGTGGGAAAGACTCAAGAATATGATGAGCGATCCAATAAGATGAGGAACCAAGGGGTAAGTTTTGGACCATACAAATTTGCAGTTACTGGTTAGCGGTTACATTGATGAGGAGACTGAAACAAAAGGAACAACAACAACAACGACAAGAAGAACAACGATGAGCTGGTCACAAATGATCCACTTGTGAGAATCTTGGTGAGCTGATGAGGTGCATATGAAATGAGCAATCGGGAGATAGCAACAACAGAGCATTGTAGAACCAGCCCCATCTATCCAGATAGTCTTATTTTGTGCGAGACATTTCTAAATGAATACAACATTAATCTGCTTAAATCACCATCAACCCTCGTCCAAAACTCTCCGATCCCAAAACATGGACATCCCAACTACCTTGGCATGAAATTCCATCTCCTGTGAAACCTGCTTTACATGTACAGCTGAAAGATCCATCAGAATTTGAACAATCAGCGTTTGAAGCACACGGATTGGGATCAGCTGAACATTCGTTGATATCTACGGAAAATAAATAAAATGTCTGTAATTGAAGATTTTACTCTAAGATAGTCGAATTCCATACTTACGCGTCCATGCGCAGAGAATATAACAAGAAAACACTAATGCGCGTCCGTTGATATAGGTAAGTCATAACTTTTGGTTTATAAAATAAGTTTGAATTCAATGGCTCTTTCAAATCATGTTCTACTTATAAAGGATGCAGTTTGGGTTGCGTGCTAGCTGTACTAAATATTATGAGGGTTCACTTTTCGTAGTAAGTCATATAATAAAGTGTGGGTTGAAGTGCGAGGATTAATTAGACTTGGTTGAAGGAGCCTACTGCAACGCAATAAATTTTCACGACAGAAGTGAGAAAACAAATGAACTTATTAGTTTGCTTGTGACGAGTTGCTCACCTTGGCAAACTACACCATTTTCAGTAAATCCTTGTTTACAAGAACAGTTGAAAGAGCCTTCAGTATTGGTGCATTGTGCGTTATCACCACACGGACCAGGTTCTGTTAAACACTCGTCGAAGTCTGGGGAGGTCGAAGAGAAGAGATTATCTCAAATGAAACAAGTACTGACCAAACGATACTGATTCATGAAGAATTTAATTTATCTTGAGAGGGATCTTAAGCAATTACCTTTACAAGTTTTTCCGTCGCCGTCAAACCCATCCCTACAACTGCAGCTGTATGAACCTTCATTGTTGGAACAATTAGCGTTCACATCACACGGGTTGGTGTCTGCAGCACACTCATCGATATCTAATAGAGTAATTGAGAAGACGATTTCATTATTCGGTTTGGCAAATAAATCATAAATATGAAGCGTTTGTAGTGAATCTCAACAAACTTATCTCTCATACCTTGGCAAACAGAGCCATCTCCAGTGAATCCCTGTTTGCATGCACAGCTATAAGAACCGTTACTGTTGATTCAATCCGCGTTTTTATCACAGATGCTACTATCCGCTGAACACTCGTCGATATCTAGTGGTATTAAAGACTCATGTCATTCAAAGTGGCTGACACACCCTTAACGGGAAGGGTCTCAAACTTTACAGAATGTTACTTTTTCTTTAGGTAAAAAAATGACTGTTGTTGTGTCATCTTGTTCAGCGAGGTGAATAACCACTAGATATTCAGTGATGACTGAGCATTTCATTGAACAATAGTACGACATCAGACGAGATGGAGTATAGTTTTAGAGGGAGAACGTGGGAAATTGCTACTAGCTTCCTTCAAATTATGCGGTTTTACAAAATTTATCAACGTCCTTCCTACCTTCACAGGTTCTGCCATCACCCGTAAATCCTTTTATACAACTACAGTTGTAAAAACCGTCAGTATTGGTGCATTGTGCATTATCACCACACGGACCAGGTTCTGTTAAACACTCATCGAAGTCTAGGGAGGTCGAAGAGAAGAGATTATCTCAACTGTAACAGGTGCACACTAAACGATACAGATTTATGAAGATTTTCTCTTGACAGGTATCTTAGACAATTACCTTTACAAGTTTTTCCGTCTCCATCAAACCCAACCCTACAACGGCAGCTGTATGAACCTTCACTGTTGTAACAATCAGCGTTCACATCACACGGGCTGGTCTCTGTAGCACATTCATTGATATCTAATTGTATAAATTGGAAGAGATATCATTATTCGTTTGGCAAAAATATGTCCTTGCATTTACCGCGCCGACAAATCGATGTCATATATATGAGATTTATATGAATACAACAAACTTATCTTTCATACCTTGGCAAACAGAGCCATCTCCAGTGAATCCCCGTTTACATGCACAGCTATATGAACCGTCACTGTTGATGCAATCTGCGTTTTCATCACAGATGCTGCTATCCGCTGAACACTCGTCGATATCTAGTGGTATTAAAGATTTAGTTTTTAACGGGAAAAAGTAACTGTTGCTGTTTTATCTCGTTCAGCCTGAGGCATAACCACTAAAGTTTTGGTAAAGACTAACCACTTTGTCAACCAATACTTTGACATCAGACGAGATGGAGTATGATTGTGAAAGAGAGGGTCGGAAATTGTTACACGTACTAGCCATCCTAAAATCGTGCCGTTTTAAAAATATATTAACTTCTTGCCCACCTTCACAGGTTAAGCCATCTCCCGTGAATCCTTTTTTACAAGTACAGCTGTATGAACCATTAGTGTTGGTACAGTCGGCGTTATCACCGCATGGACCAGGTTCTGTCAAACACTCATTGGAATCTGAGGTGGTGGACCAAACATTTCTTTTAGTAACTAATAGTTAATTTACTCCATTTTCACTGCATTAATTTTTGCAGTGGGGAAGGACTAGAAAGGAACATAGGAACCATTCATGCTAGTCCACCCTCCCACCCCAGGGGAGGACATCCATCACACAGTAATCTCGTGTGTGGGAAATTAACGTCTCCTACCCCAACCCTGCAGGAGACGGGACCTCCATTTATTCGTCCCTATCCGAGAAGACTAGAATATCTAACCATTTCTTGATGTTATAGAAAGGTAGCACATTTTTTTCAATTATTTTAACTTTTCTTTTCTTAAATAAAAAGCTGTTAAGACTTTAAAGTTCAGATACCTTTACATGTTTTCCCGTCGCCATCGAATCCCTGTTTACACGTACAGCTGTATGAGCCGTCAGTGTTGGAGCAATCAGCGTTTTCGTCACATGAACTAGGATCCGTAGAACATTCATCGATATCTGTTTGATTGGATAGCAATTCAGCGTCATGTAACAGATAAACAAAACTGTGGCTTTAGCTCGATTAGGATTACAATGAAGAAACGTACGATTCAATTATCATGAGCGAAGGACAATCCAGCAGATCAAATTCCCATGTTGGGACATACAAACCTGTACAAGTGCTGCCTTCCCCAGTAAAGCCCTGCTTACAAGAGCAGCTGTAGGAACCCTCACTGTTGGTGCAATCAGCGTTTTGGTCACAAGGACTAGTATCCGGAGAACATTCATCGATATCTAATAGAGAAGAAAGGAAGAGACCAAAGGTGGCTCGACCCGGATTCGCTTCATAACAAGTTAATTTAGTAATTTAAACCGTCACCTACACAGGTCTTCCCATCTCCAGGAAATCCTTGTTCCTCGGTTCTTCTTTATTACAAAGCAATATTTTAGAATTGCGTTGTTTTTGTGCTCTTGCTTTCAAGGAAGGATACAGAGAGTACAGGAGGCCAACCGCCTTACATAAAGCCAATCTGAACGCACTTTATAAGTGCTGCAAATGACAGCTTCTTAATAAACTACCTTTACCACTTGTATTCCTGTTGTCTAGAGGTATCTCTGAAGTTGTTCTTCGACATGTTGAGAACTAGAAATTACAACAATGAACGGCGTATTACAAACCTACACACGCCACGCCATCCCCAGTGAATCCGTCTCTACAAGTACAGCTATAGGAACCGTCACTGTTGGTGCAATTAGCGTTTTGGTCACAAGGACTGGTACCCACAGAACATTCATCAATATCTAATAAAAGGGAAAAAAAGACATCGATGATAGATCGATCCTGAACATTCATCGATATCTGAGTTCAAAGGAAAAAAAAAACTGATCATAAAACTCTCTTCATGGGGCAAGCAACGTAAGCAAAATTCAGAGAATTACCCTCGAAACTAACCTGTACAAGTGAGGCCATCTCCAGTAAATCCCTCTCTACAAGTACAGCTATAGGAACCGTCACTGTTGGTGCAGTTAGCATCTTTGTCACAAGGACTGGTATCCGCTGAACATTCATCAATATCTAATTTTGTGAAAACAGAAAACAGTGATAGCTCGTTCCTGAACATTCATCAATATTTTAATATATGAGCAAAAAAAAACAAAAACAAAAACAAAAACAAAAATGATCTTTGTTATGTTAGCTACACGCTCAAAGTCTGGAAACTCACCAGTACAAGTGAGGCCATCTCCAGTAAATCCCTTTTTACAAGTACAGCTATAGGAACCGTCACTATTTGTGCAATTAGCGTTTTGGTCACAAGGACTGATATCCGCTGAACATTCATCGATATCTAATTAAGAGGAAAGAAGACATCATTGAAAGCTCATCCTTGATTCGGACCATGAGAAATGAATTATACTCATTACCTTTACAAGTCTACCCATCTTCGCTCAATCTTTTCTATATATACAGATATAAGAACCGTCTGCTGCCCTTTTTAGAAACTTAAGCGGTTTTGACTGCAAAGCAATCTTTTAGAATTGGGTTGTTTTTATGGCCTTGCTTTCGTAAGGAGGGTTCCTTTAAAATAAGCCAACCTAAGGGCGCTCTATAACTGCTGCAAACACCTGCTTCGTAATATATTACCTTTACCACTTCTGTTTCTTCTATATAAAGGTATTTCTCGAGTTGGTCTAAGACACATAGATAACTCAAAATTAAAAAAATTAGCGGCAAAATACAAACCAGCGCATGCCACACGATCCCCAGAAAATCCCACTTTACAAGTACAGCTGTAGGAACCGTCACTGTTGGCGCAATTAGCGTTTTGGTCACAAGGACTGGTATCCGCAGAACATTCATCGATATCTAATTGAGGGGGATAGAAGACATCAGTGATAGCTCGACTCTGATTCTGACTAAAAATATAAATCATACTCATTACCTTCACAGGTTTTTCCATCTCCAGAAAATCCCCGATTACAAGTACAGATGTAAGACCCGTCATTGTTTATGCAGTTGGTATTTTCGTCACAAGGACTTAAATCAGCAGAACATTCATCGACATCTGATGGAATGGAAAATATGATGACAATTTTAACTTTATCAATCCTATTTGAAGTTAAGAAATCTATGGTATTCATAACCTCACAAATTTTTCCATTTTCACTGAGTTTTGTTTACAAGAACGTTTGTAAGAGCCGTCACAGCTCTTTGGTTGCAAGGATTTGAGTCCGTAGGGTATTCATCGATATCTTAGTTCATTAAAGACAGAGAAGAAGTAGAACTTTCTGACAAATTACATGTAAAAATCGGATGACGACTCTCTGAAAAACTGACCTGTACACGTTATGCCATCCCCAGTGAATCCCCGTTTACACGAACAGCTGTAAGAACCTTCATTGTTGGTGCAATCGGCATTTTCGTCACAAGGACTTGATTCCGCAGAACATTCATCGATATCTAAGTTTAAACGAAAAAAATAATGGTTGTGGACAAAGAATGAAGAGAAAATACAACGTGAAATGTGATAGACAATAAACAAAAATGATAGCGTGTTCCTTTCTCAGCAGGAGTCTTCTACCTAAAAATAAACTCGATTGAACACTCTCAGAAACCCCTTTCTTGACAACTAACCTGTACACGTTATGCCATTTCCAGTGAATCCTAGTTTACAAAAACAGCTGTACGATCCATCACTGTTGCTGCAGTTAGCGTTTTGGTGACAAGGACCGGAAACCACTAAACACTCATCGGTATCTTAATGAAAAGACAGAAAACACGATTGATTCTTATTCAGAAGTTAAAATGATCTATCAGGTATTATATACTCAAAACAGTCCATCTCCCAGAAATCCTCGTTGAAAAAGAAATAACCGTCATTACTAATGCAATCTACATCATTGTCACAAAAACTTGTGCAAAGTAATTGTAAACATCTGAGTAATTAAGAAAAAAATTTCAGATCTAAAGATCCTATTTGAACTTAAATTTACCATCGCGAATTGACCCATCCCCACTGAATCTTTGTTTACAGGTGCAACTTAAAGAACCACCTCTGTTTGCACAATAAGCATTTTCGTGACATGTATTTGATTCTGCAGAAACTTCACCATAAGTTTAGCAGAAATAGGAACGGTTCTGGGACTTTCTAATCGAAATTAACTCGACTGAAAACTTGCAAATGCCCATGATTAAAAACTAACCTGTACAGTTTATACCATCCCCTGTGAATCCTTGTTTACAAATACAGCTGTAGGAACCATCACTGTTGTTGCAATAAGCGTTTTGATCACAAGAATTGGATTCCAAGGAACACTCATCGATATCTGAAAGAGTGGAAAAGGAAATAGAAGCTTCTCTTCATTCCTAGTCGAAGCCTAAAATAATTCCTATTTGAGATCTTAATATGTGCCATCTCCGATGAAACCCTGTTTACAATTTTAGCTTTCCATAAGATCGTAGTAGTAGCAAGTATGATAAATATTGTAAGAAATAGACAACTTTTTTTGAGTGACATGTTTCGGCACGCTTATGCCATCTTCAATCAATGAATAACAGAACGTGAGTAATTATATAACAGACAAGTAGATGAATAAAATATTTACAGTATGATGTAATACAAAAGCGGGTAGTAATTACGTGTCACCAAACATCAAAGGTGTGAACTAAAACGCTAGATACTAATACTAACGCTAATACTCCCTTTCTTGCTTTAGTATTCTGGATTCTGCTAACGACTCAATTGATTTAAAACTCAAAGAAGCTCTTCAAATAAATAAGATCAAACCTGAACTTAACAAACAATTACAGCATTATAACACTTTTCTAGCGTTTTAGTTCACACCTTTGATGTTTGGTGTCACGCTGTACCCGCTTTTGTAAAACATCATACTGTAAATATTTTATTCATCTACTTCTCTGTTATATAATTACTCACGTTCAGTTACTCATTGATTGAAGATGGCATAAGCATGCCGAAACATGTCTCTCAAAAAAAGTTGTCTATTTCTTACAATTTTAGCTTTATTAAGTAGATAATGCATTTGTTCAACATGGGAACTTAACTACTCAGAACACTTTTCGTTATTTAAGTCCATTGGAAAAATGAATGGGCGTACTTTACTCCGGGAAATCAACTCCATGGATAGTTTTTCAAAAAACTCTTTTTAAAAAAGGCTTACCTGTACAGATGAGGCCATCCCCAGTGAATCCCTGTTTGCAACTACAGCTGTAAGATCCATCACTGTTGCTGCATTCGGCGTTTTCGTCACAAGAACTGGAACCCAATGAACATTCATTGACATCTGATGAAATGAAAAAGCAGAATCGAATTTCAGGTTGATCCTGATTAAATTCATCAGATATATGACCTTCATCAACATTCGCGAGCTGTCCTTTCTCCATCGAATCCCTATTAACAAAGACAGCTGCGTGACCCGTTAGTGTAGGTGCAATCGCTACCCTATGTCGATCTTATGTTTTTTTTTTTTTTTGAGGAAATGACGTTAAATAGTCGTAATGCACGAATTGGTTCCTCTACCTTAAGAGCCACATGAAACAATGTCTTTCACCCCCCACAAATCTCAACATAGGCTGAAAAAAAACTTTGAAAACAAATGGTTGTCGAACTCTTTGACCGAAACTCGACCTCCTTCAGAAAAAAACCTTCTGAAAAACTGTTACAATATTTATTACCTTCACAAGCCGTCCCGTTTCCGGTGAACCCCTGTTTACAAGTACAGCTGTATGAACCCTCACTGTTGGCGCAATCCGCGTTCTGGTCACAGGGAGTGAAATCCAGAGTACACTCATCGATGTCTGATGGCGTGGAAACAAAGATAAAAGAGACTATTTCCAAAAACGCACCTCGCCAAATGACAAGGAAACAACTTAGCCTAAAAGAGGTCTTCAATCTCCTTTACCTTCACAAGCTGTTCCGTTTCCAGTAAACCCCTTTTTACAGGTGCAGCTGTACGAACCGTCATTATTGGCGCAGATGGCGTTCTTGTGACAAGAATTAGAGTCCGTAGAACATTCATCGATATCTGATGGCGTGGAAGGAAAATTATAAATGCTAGCCTGATATTTATTTTGAGGTCAATCTATTTGTAATTTTCTTCACTTTCAAAAATTGTCCCATCTCCTGTAAATCCTTGGGCACAAGTACAGCTGTAGGAACCCTCACTATCTGAACAATTAGCGTTTTCGTCACAAGGACTTGATTCAGCAGAACATTCATCGATATCTTGGTAAATTGCAAAAAAATAAAAAAGGTTGTAAAACTCTCTAAAACAAACAGGCTAGAAGGCAACCCTTAGTTGATTAGAATAAAACGGTTATGGACCTCTTTAAGTGAGGTCAGCTACATGAAAACCTTTTACAAACACTTCTTAAAGCCTACCTGTGCAAGTCAAACCATCTCCCGTGGAACCTTGTTTACAAGTACAGCTGAACGAACCATCGTTATTCGTGCAATCAGCGTTGCTGTCACAGGGACTGGTATCCGCAGAGCACTCATCAATGTCTAATGGCGTGAAACGAAAAATAAAAAGGACTTCTTGTCGAACCCACCCACCGAAATGAAACCGACCACTTCAGAAACACCGTAGTCTGAAAAATGTTATATTTTTTATTACCTGCACACGTCGTTCCGTTTCCAGTGAACCCCTGTTTACAAGTACAACTGTACGAACCGTCACTGTTGGCACAATCAGCGTTATCGTCACAGGATCTGAATTCCGGAGAGCACTCATCGATGTCTGTTGGCGCATAAAGAAAGATAATAAAAATAATTATTTAGATATAATTAGTTATTCCTAGCGCTTTACAGCAATAAAATCTTAATGCTCCTACAAAAATAGTGGTAGTTTAGGCTCCAGTAAAATATTTAACAGTAATTAATTATAATGTAAAAAATAAACAAAGAACTACATTGACAAGTTCAAAGATAAAAAGTTTAAGTCGGTTCTTAAAGATATAAAAAGGGAATGGTCGTAGAAATCTTTGACCGAAATAACTTGAGTACTTAAGAAACAAAATGGTCTGAAAAAAGTGCTACAGTCTTTATTACCTTCACAAGTTGTCCCATTTCCAGTGAACCCCTTTTTGCAAGTACAGCTGTGCGAGCCGTCGTTGTTGGCGCAATCAGCGTTCTCGTCACAGGGACTGGTATCCGCAGAGCACTCATCGATGTCTGTTCCCATGGAAGAGAGATAAAAAGGAATCGTTTTAGAACTCTCTGTCCGAAATGTACTAGAACTCCTTCAGAGGCAACATGGTCTGAAAAAAAATTCAAGCTTAAAAACCTTCACAAGTTGTCCCATTTCCAGTGAAACCCTTTTTGCAAGTACAGCTGAAAGAACCATCACTGTTGGTGCAATCTGCATTCTTGTCACAGGGATTGGTATCTGCGGAGCACTCATCAGTGTCTGATGCCGTGGAACGAAAGATAGAAAGGAATAGTTGTTAACTCCCTAACCAAAATATACTTGAATTCTTTCAGAGAATACGAGGTCCGAAATGATACTTCAAGCTTAATAACCTTGACAAGCCGTCCCGTTTCCAGTGAACCCCTGTTTGCAGGTACAGCTGTACGAACCGTCATTATTCGCGCAGTCAGCGTTCTCGTCACAAGGATTGGTATCTGCAGAACACTCATCGATGTCTGATGGCATGAAAATAAATATAGAAACTAATGGTTATAGAGCTTTCTGACCGAAATGTACTTGAACACTTTCATAAACACCATAGTCTGCAACATTTTACACTCATTAGTACCTTGACAAGTCGTCCCGTTTCCAGCGAACCCCTCTTTACAAGTACATCTGTATGAACCGTCACTATTGGCACAAATAGCATTTTTGTCGCAGGGATTGGCGTCCACGGAGCACTCATCGACGTCTGAAGGAGCGGAATAGGACGATTAAGAGGAATGATTGTTGAACTCGCCTAACGAAATAACACTTACATAAACAAAAAAACCTGAAAACGGGTTAACAATCTCCTTTACCTTCACACGCCGTCTCATTTCTAGTGAACCCCTGTCTACAAGTACAGCTATAGGAACCATCAATATTGGCGCAATCAGCGTTCTCGTCACAGGGATTGGTTTCTGCAGAACACTCATCCATGTCTGATGGTGAGGAAAGAAAGATAAAGAGGTACCGTTATATAACTCTGTCACCGAAATAGGATTGAACACCTTAAGAGACAGCATTGTATACCAAAACGCTATAATTATTATTACCTTCACAAGTCGTCCCGTTCCCAGTGAACCCCCGTTTGCAAGTACAGCTGTAAGAAGCGTCATTGTTGGCGCAGTCAGCGTTCTCGTCACAGGGATTGATATCTGCAGAGCACTCGTCGATGTCTAATTGAATGGAAATATATATAGAAAGGAATGGTTGTAGGACTATCTGACCAAAATGAACTCCAACGCTTTCAGAAACACCTCAGTCACCAACATTTTAAACTGTTCTAGTACCTTGACAGGTGGTCCCGTTTCCAGTGAACCCCTCTTTACAAGTACAGTTGTACGAACCGTCACGATTGGCACAAATGGCATTCTTGTCGCAGGGATTGGCATCCGCTGAGCACTCATCGATGTCTGAGGGACGGATAAAACGATTAAGAGGAATGATTGTAGAACTCGCCCGCCGAAAGAAAGAAAGGCCTTAAAAAGGTTAACAATCTTCTTTACCTTCACAAGTCGTCCCGTTTCCGGTGAACCCCTGTTTACAAGCACAGCTATAGGAACCGTTGCTGTTGGCGCAATCAGCGTTTTCGTTACAGGGATTGGTATCTGCAGAACACTCATCGATGTCTGACGGTGAGGAAAGAAAGATAAAAAGGTATCGTTGTTGAATTCGCGATCGAAACACCTTGAGAGACAACTCGGTATAGTAAAACGCTGCATTTATTATTACCTTCACAAGCCTTCCCGTTTCCGGTAAACCCCTGTTTACAAGTACACCTATAGGAACCGTCACTGTTGGCGCAACCAGCGTTCTCGTCACAAGGATGGACACCCGCAGAGCACTCATTGATATCTGATGGTGTGTAAAGAAAGGCAAAAAGGAATCGTTATAGAACTTTCTGACCGAAATATACTTGAATCCTCTAGAGACAAGACAGTCTGCTGACAGTAATGCTAAAATCTTTATCACCTTGACAAGTTGTTCCGTTTCCAGTGAAACCCTGTTTGCAAGTACAGCTATATGAACCCTCAATGTTTGAGCAATTAGCGTTTACGTCACAAGGACTTGATTCAGGAGAACACTCATCGATATCTTGGTAAATTGAAAAAGAAAAAAAGTTTGTAAACCTCTCTCAAACAAACAAGTTACAAGGCGATCCGTGGTTGATTAGAATAAAATGGTTATGTACTTAAGGTCAGCGAATTGGAAACCTTTTACAAACACTCCTCAAAGCCTACCTGTACAAGCCAAACCATCTCCCGTGAAACCTTGTTTACAAATACAGCTGTACGAACCGTCGCTATTCGCGCAATCAGCGTTGTTGTCACAGGGACTGGCATCCGCCGAGCACTCATCGATGTCTAATGGTGAAGAAAGTAAGATAAAAAGTAATGGTAATAGAATACTTTGACCGAAATGACTTGAGTACTAAAAGCATCAACAGGGGCTGAAAAAAATGCTAGAAATTTTCATTACCTTCACAAGCCGTCCCGTTTCCAGTGAACCCCTGCGTACAAGTACATTTGTACGAACCGTCACTGTTGGCGCAACCAGCGCTCTCGTCACAGGGATTGGTATCCGAAGTGCACTCATCTATGTCTGATGGTGAGGAAGTGAAGATAAAAAGAATTAGTACTAGGACTCTCGGAACGAAATTTATTCGAACTCCTTCTAAAATAATCGTCATTGTTGGCTCAATCAGCGTTCTTGTCGAAAGGATTGCTCTCCGTGAAGCAATCATCTTTGTCTAATCGCGTGGACAGAAATAAAAATGAACTGCAACATTTTCAATATAACGTGGTCTGAAAAAAATCGCACTCTTAATTACCTTCACAAGTCGTCCCGTTTCCAGTGAACCCCTGTTTACAAGTACATTTGTACGAACCGTCACTGTTGGCGCAATCAGCGTTCTCGTCACAGGGATTGGTTTCTGCAGAGCACTCATCGATGTCTAATGGCGAGGAGATAAAGACAAAAAGGAGTCGTTATAAAACTCTCTAACTGAAATATCATATCATATCATGGTGTTAGGACTCCTTCAGAACAAAATAGCGTGAAAAACGTTACAATCTCTATTACCTTCACAAGTCGTCCCGTTTCCAGTGAACCCCTTTTTACAAGTGCAGCTGTGCGAACCGTCATTATTGGCGCAATCGGCGTTCTCGTCACAGGGATTGGTTTCTGCAGAGCACTCATCGATGTCTGATGATTAGGAAAGAAAGATAAAGAGGTATCGTTCTAGAACTATCTGATTGAAATAAACTTGAACACCTTGAGAGACAGCATGGTATCGTAAAACGCTACAATTCATATTACCTTCACAAGTCGTCCCGTTTCCGGTGAACCCCTGCTTACAGGAGCAGCTGTACGAACCATCACTGTTGGCGCAGTCAGCGTTCTTGTCGCATGGAGTGAAATCAGCTAGACACTCATCGATGTCTGATGGCGTAAAAAGAAGATAAAAAGGACTCGTTGAAGAGCTTACCCACCAAAATAAACCACAGAAACAACATGGCCTGAAATAAGTCTATAGTCTTCTTTACCTTCACAAGCCGTCCCGTTTCCAGTGAACCCCTGTTCGCAAGTACAGCTGTACGAACCATCATTATTGGCGCAATCAGCGTTCTCGTCACAGGGATTGGTATCTGCAGAGCACTCATCGATGTCTGATGGCGAGGGAAAGAGAGTGTAAAGGTTTGCTCTTTGACTGAAATTAACTTCAACACTCTGAACAAATGCTACAATTTATATTACCTTCACAAACCGTCCCGTTTCCGGCGAACCCCTCTTTACAAATACAGCTGTACGAACCGTCACTGTTGGTGCAATCAGCGCTTTCGTCACAGGGATTGGTGTCCGCAGAACACTCATCGATGTCTGTGGGAAAGAAAGTATAGAGGGTAGCTTGAGTTCATGCTTGAGGTCAATAAATACGTGTAGGTATGGTCCTATCCCTTGTGAATCCCTGATTACAAATTTATCAACCCTAAATTTTGGTACAAGCGTGATTCTTATTCGTAATTGAAAATGCTTAATCTGTGTTTAATACTCAAAAGTTCCTTCCCTTTTCGGGCACACAAGTTATGACATTCAGTGATGGTGCAACGGCCATTATCGTCACATATGACGAGGTTTACGCTATATGAGCTTGATTCCGCAGAACACTCATGTATATCTGTTGAAACCGACAGGGCAGTAATGTCTTATTTGGTGACATACTTACCATTCCATACAACTAAATGGAAAGTTAACTCCTTAGCTAGCTTAGTTGTCATTTCATCATAGATAACAAAGAAAAGACTAAAATAACCCCTAATCCGTTGCCATCGTTTTTACGTTTGCTGTTAATCTTATTTGTACTGTAAGTAAGGCACGGCATGATGTTTTGCTGCCTCGTTCATCATATGTTAGGTCTTCCGAATTAAGAGGCCCTTAAAAAAGAAATTCACGAAAAATACCTGTACATATTGTGCCATTTCCAGTAAACCCTTGTTTACAGGAACAGCTGTAAGAACTTGCGCTGTTGGTGCAATCAGCATTTACATCACAAAGACTAGAATCAGCGGAGCATTCGTCGATATCTGATGATCACAGCACATAAAAGCTCGTTATAATCCTTTTATTTTGTTTCATGAGATCATTAAAACGTACTTTACGGACTTTGAAGACAAAGCGCGCTCTTCGCAGGAAAACCAAAGGAACAGGGAATGCTTGAAAGACTAGGACTGGTCAACAGGGAAGTTTGCTTATGATTCTACACAGATAAAGGCCACTGATATGGCCTTTTCTTACCTGTACAAGACGTTCCATTTCCACTAAAACCTTGTCTACAAGTACAGCTGTAAGAACCTTCACTGTTCGCACAGTCAGCGTTTTTGTGACAAGGACTTGAATCTTGAGAACACTCGTTAATATCTAGAGTAACAAAAGAAGGATGCAGTCATCACACAATAAATAAAACAAGAAGAAAAAATGGAAGAGACAAAGAAGAAAAGAGCCAAACCAACCAATTCGTGTCTAGACCCCACTTTTAAAATCAAAATACGAGAAAGGACAGCAACATTGTTTTTTAAGTTCAAATCGGAAAAGTACTGTGAAAACAAATTGTGATGATCTCCTTCCATAGTTGTACCTATACAAGTTGATCCATCTCCAGAGAATCCTTCTTTACAAATACAGATGTGAGAACCGTCGGTATTCGCACAATCTGCATTCTTATCACACGGACTGGGATCAGCAGAGCATTCATCGAAATCTAACACAGGTGAGAGAAAAATAAAACTATTCATAAAAAAATTAAAAGACAAGTACAGGTTCTGTCCTGGTGAACCGGTTCACAAGGGAATTACCATTGTTCTTTCTTTGTTTAGGAATTATCGGTTAGCTANATTCACCTCGCCTTCGGCGAATAATTGTTAAATACAAGAAATAAAATCGGAGCAAATAAACAAAAACACAAAAGAGAAATAAATCATCAGTACAGCAAACGTGACAAACGCTTAAACTTTGTTCGCAGTTTCACAACCTGGACCTTCACAAGATGGTGAAAGAATGATAACAATTTCAGCTTGAAAGAGGTTAACAAACCATCCATATTCATTACCTTCGCAACTTTCCCCATCTCCTGTAAAACCCTGCTCACAAATACAGCTGTAAGAGCCGTTGTTGTTGGTACAAATAGCATTCTCGTCACAGGGATTGGTTTCAGGTGCACATTCATCGATATCTGTTGAGATAAGCCCATAGTTACTGACTGAAGTCAACTTTAGGGAGAGAGCGACTAATTTCAAGTTCGCCAAACACGTTGCAGGCAGCTGCATATTTGCGGTTGGTTGATAAATTGAAACTCGCGTCTGCTGACTAGTTCAGTTTTCTTTTAAGCTGAAAATAAAAATAACCCTTCCCAACTAAGAATTTTTTAAATTTTTTATTAATTGACATTATCTTGGTCGTATTTTTTAATAGGATCTGCTACTATATCCTTTCGATTCCCAACCAACTTCAAATCAGACATGTCGAGTCTGCCAATTATGATCCAGCTAAAACTAGTGAATAACGACGACGGCTAACCAAGGAGGCTGGAATATTTTGTCCTTTACGTAATTAAGAAAAATTGTTTAAAGCCGAGTTCTGATTTTGTTTTGGTAGTACTGTATAAAAAGTCGATATAGTACCTTCACAACTGAAACCATGTCCAGCAAATCCCTGTTCGCACGTACAACCGTAGCACGCTCATCGATATATGATCTATCAATTAGAATGTAGGCTTCGTGACCGGAGCCATCTCTACAGAAACAAGTGAAGGATTTTGTTGCCGTATGACAACTCTCCCCTTTCTGCCACGTGTTCGTTGGATAATCTTCCGAGAAATGAAAAGTTTGATAATTAAAAATCGAAATTTCTACCTGTACATGTTTCTCCATCTCCTTCAAATCCAGGAAGACAAGTGCACTCATATGAGCCTTTGGTGTTCAAGCAGAATGCATTTGCATCACAGGGATTGGTGGCACACTCGTCAATATCTAATGCAGAAATATGTAAAACAAATTGCACAAACTTGAACTGAATACTGGGTTCATACCTTGGATTTGTCCTTGCTTACGATCCATAACAGTAGGAAGATAGGGTGGACAACAAATATATGATTGACTTTTTCGTATTTTCCAAAATTAGGCCGGCTCAATTTTTCAAATTCTTAATTTCCTGTTTTATTTTAACATAAATAGAGAGATTAAAAACTTAACGTTCACATGGTAAAATAGAATATATGTGCTAAATTGAAACAAATCAAAAGCACTTTCGAGCACAACCAAAGCAAACAAATACAGAAAAAATGACCTTAATGGCGGATATAAATGGAAAAACCAAAACCAAATTGTTTACCAGAACAAAGCGTTCCATTTCCGGTAAACCCGTCTTTGCAGGTACAAGTGTATGAGCCTTCATTGTTTAAGCAGTCCGCGTTTTCGTCACATGGGCTGCCATTCGTACTGCACTCGTCGATGTCTGAAAAAAATAGAAAGTTGCCTTGTCTAATCTTCTAAATCATGAGAACAGCTCGGAATTACTTACATTCGACCCATGGCTTACGCTCGAAACGCGGTCAGCTTTTCAAAATTTGCTCTCGTGGCTCAGTTAACTTTGTCAACTAAGCAATGATCAACAGAGAGTGTCACTTGCTCCCCGACGCATCACAACAGTTTTTTGAAGTAAACATTATGGTCAAATGTAGACTTCTCCTATCCTCGTAGAGAAAGTCTGAGAGAAATGGTGGAGTCCTTAAACAAATAGTCACCATTCAATTTTCATTCAGTAAATACCTGTGCAGATTGATCCATTTCCGGTAAATCCCATTCTGCAAGTACAGATCGATGAACCGATTGTGTTGACGCAGACTGCATTTTTGTCGCACGGATTGGAAAGCACACACTCATCAATATCTACCAAAAACATAATTTTATATTGTTTAATCATCCTTTGTGTTTGTAACGCCTTTACGCGTTTGCTGCTCTTTAAATAAAAAACGTCGGATTTTATCGCAACATGTAATGTTATAAATAAATATATTTATTACAAATAAGAAACACCACGTAACTAAATTGATAAATAAATGAATACCTTACCTGTACATGTCTTTCCATCTCCTTCAAATCCAGGACGACACGTACACTCGAAGGAGCCGTTTGTATTTAGGCACGCTGCATTGAGATCGCAAGGATTGGTTGCGCACTCGTCAATATCTAAAGACAGTGAAAATACATCAAAGTTAAGGGTTTCCGTGGAAACGCAGCTAATAAATGCGGATCAACAGTGGTAAGTCTGACTTCCGTGAAGACCTAATCTTAGTCTCAGTCCAATGACTACAAGACTACAAGAACACACGAAAGAGCCACTGATGTTTAAAAAGGTAGGACTAGTATCACAAGGATTTGTGGGGCATTCATCAATATCTAAACAAAAAATAGAGGAGAAACTTTTAAGGGAGGGGTCACATTGTTTCTCCTACTCTTCATCTAGATCATGTTGAAAAACATTTGCCTCTCTCTTTCTCTCTCCCAATCATTTATCTTCTTCTCTTAAATCAAATTCCTCTAGCTATCATTGCGTATGATACAAAGGTCATCCTACTTTTCACTGGACCTTATTTGTCTTTAAAAATAAAAAATTACCATTGTGAAGCGATTCACAGCGTGCCACTCATAAGTTGATGAATGAATCTATTCAAAGCCTCCATCAATTACGCCTAACACAAGTGGGAACACTTTTTTCGTTTTTTTGTGCCATCGTTAAGCTAGGAACAGAGACATAACAATTGCAAAAGGCAACTTACCATTACAGACTATCCCACTTCCTGTGAACCCATCTTTACAAGTGCAAGTGTAGGATCCATCCTCGTTCAAACAAATCGCATTTTCGTCACAGGGGCTGCCATTCTTTGAACACTCGTCAATGTCTATGTCCCAGGAAAACGAATAAAAAAAAGATCAACTTGTTTGTGATTTCAATTCATCTTATACAAAAATAAATTAAGTAATAGCATGATGCACCAATTTAATTACCTGCACAGGATGTTCCATTTCCGGTGAATCCTTTTCTGCAGGTACAGATGAATGAGCCATTTGTGTTCAAGCAGTCAGCGTTTTTGTCACACGGGTTGGAGATCAAACATTCATCAATATCTAAAGAATTAAAAGACATGCATTGCCACCTTTTTAAGATGCCTAGTGCTGAGAGAGGAGTGTAGGGAGATTGGACAGACAAATTTAAGTTAAAAAGAAATTTTTTTCATGTTAGTCAGTAGGTGGATACTCGAAGATATACGCAGAGTTTGGTAAATTCTTCGCCCGAAAAGTAATTGTCCGCCTAGTGTGAACGTGCGACGTCCAAGGCCATTATCAGAGCTAACCTCACCAATCGCTCATATGGTCCAACACTTCAGTTAGGGGAAGCTATCGAGAAGACGCAATTAAAGCCAACAACTTTACCTGCGCACGTTTTTCCATCTCCATCAAATCCAGGACGACACGTACACTCAAAGGAGCCGTTTGTGTTTAAGCACGCTGCATTGACATCGCAAGGATTGGTAATGCACTCGTCAATATCTAAAGACAATGAAAATACATTTTAAGTTGAGGGTATCTATGACAACGCAGCAACATAATTTTGACAAAAAGCGATAAGTTTCACTTCCGTGAAGACCTGGATTTTGTAAGCCTTCTCTAAGCAGAAAAATGGGTTAAAATTTAATTCGACAAATAATGTATGTTTCCCTTTGAAAGGATTACCGGTTTATTTATTTGCATTCTCATTCAAAAGAGATAAATCTACAGTTGTAGTGAATGTTGCCCAGATCAATTATTGCGAAGGTTTTTTAGAAACGTAAAAGAAGCGTTTGAAATATGAAATATCTGCAACTCTTTTCCAGCGAACTACTTCTCACCTCGGCAAACCTTGCCATCTCCATCAAACCCAGCCCTACATCGACACGAGTAACTTCCTTCGGAGTTTGTACAGTTAGCCTTAACATCGCAATCATTTGATCCTGTCTCACATTCGTTAATGTCTGTGAAAAAGAAAGTTCAGTAAAAAAGGTAATTCGCAAATTAGTCAAGAAAACAGGATACACAAAAATACAAATGACATACATGGAGCTATTCACAACATCATATATACGTCTATGTAATCTATGGTGGTCTCTTTCCGTTTGGCAAACCTCACAGTGAAGCAATCACCAATACGAAGAGTAGATTGGCTCAGCATACGAGATTGCTGCAAGAAGTACAGCGCGCTTCTGGGGATTAGGAGTGCTGCTACAACCACTAAATGCTAATTTAATGTGGGCAACCTCTTGAATTTTCTCAAGTCTCCCTGAAAGATCGCTAAAACCGATTTTTTGCTCCTCTCTACCCTTAAAGAGTAACCTTTCTTGACCAACAATACAATCTAAAAACGTCAGCCAAAGCTCGAATTAGGACGTTTCGATCCGGAAGCCGGCGCATTAAGCATTCAGCCGCCCAGTAGGCACATAAGCCTGGGGGTGGCCTGTTTTATCATCAAGGTAAACAAAGAGCTACCATAGGTCAAACGCGTGTAATTCGATGGACGTCTGTGACTTCTTCACTTCTGCATTTACAGGCTACTACACTCAGATCGCCTTTTTCTTCGTCCTATAGACTAATCGAACGAATACCTTACAGACAATGCTGACGAAATACTGCAAGAAAGTCAGTTGGAAGGTAAAGTCTCGGTCTTCCGTTATATCTTACCGGAACAATTTCCATCGAGCTCTTCGTTGAATCCCGTAGAACACTGGCATTTGTATGAGCCATCTGTATTGACGCATTCGGCACCACGCCCGCACGTCACATTAAAGATGTAACACTCATCGATATCTGAAAAAAAAAATGTAAATCTTTGTATTTGCTCATACATATTTTCTGTGAAAAACGAAAAAAAACTATTGTCAGGTGTTTTTGTTGACACAAAAAGCCTTCGGATAGTTGTTGGACGTTGTATTTATGCACTCAATTAAGTCAAGCGACCAAGTTACCACAGGAAACGAAGGCGAACCCCCGCCCTTACTTAACCTTTTCACTGCTTCGATGCTATTTTTCTCAATGCTGTTTGTTACAGATTTCATAGATTGTTGGTTCTGAGAAATTAGTGCTAAATGAAAAAAAATACCCCTGATCAGGATATTTAGTAAATAAACCCCTTCGGGCGGCTGGTGTGTCGGCTGATAATGTCTGCGGCTCAGAGATTGTCCGAAAAAAGAATATTTGGCCGAGAAGCGAAGCTTCGAGGGCAAATATGAAATTTTGAGGACAATCTCTCAGCCAAGGACATTATCAGCCGACATACCAACAAGTCAGAACGGGGTTTATTTATTTCATAACCCTCTCATTAACTTTTACATCGCAATTAAACTGCGCGTAAACACAGTAAAAAAGCCTGTGGTGATCTGATGGCGAATGCGCGTGATTGACGAAAGCAAGCAAAACAAAAAAACCAGTTTGGTTTCCTTCCATGTAGATGGGAGAACGGAAAAGTTGAAACTCTTGTGTTGACTATGTTTCTTTTTCACGGAAAAAATCGGAGGACAAATATCGACGCGGACGGGGTTATTGCGTAATAACTGCCTTGTGATTTTGCACCACGTGACGTAAAGTAACCAAAAAAATCGCGCCAAAATTAATGGGTGGTTATAATTGCCAATATTCTCGTCAACTTTCTCTTTCTTAATGGGCAAGAGGCCGAAGGAAAAAAAAAGTTCAAAGCGAATACGTAATACAGTTTTTTACCTGGCGTAGTATTGAATTACAAGGAGAAATTACTTCTGCATCACTGCTGGGAGTGAAAGGGCTAATCATAAATGCCAAGCTAATTTAAGACATTCTGCATAATATTTTTTTTTTGCATCGTTCAAAAAGATGGTCCAATTGGGAAAAACCCCTAAAATATAAACATCGAGAGATAGTGTACATAAAATAGCGAGTGAGGATGGAAAAGGAAGAAAAGGATTTCAAAGAAGAATGACTCCGCCTATTTTCTCGACACGAATACTGAAGATGTTGTATTACACAAATTATTACGCCCATGAGAAGCAAGTTAGGAGAAAGTTTAGTCAGAAATAATTTTACGGTTCACTATAAAGCTGGCCAAGCGAGAAGGCAGTTGTCGCTTTCTGCCTTGTCCACAACTTAGTACTGTTAAGAGAAAAAAACTCACTAGAACAACCTTAGGCAGTCAAAACACGAGGAACTAATGATAGGGACGTAACTCACCTCTTCTAAGGTGATTTATTTTTGGCAAATAACACATCTATAGACCATGCCCGTTCGATCGAGAGAAGCTGGGCACGAGATAATTTTCTATTTATTTATTCGTATGTTTGCGATCAACAAACTCGACTTAGTCTCAAAGGAAACGCTCAACTTGGTCGATATCCTGCCATATTGACCTCACGTTTGGTCAATAACGGCTATTTATAGCAAAAACGGCCTTGAGACATAGATCACGTCGTGATTTCAACACCAGCTTAAAACTGTAATTAAGAACCCTTGAAAACTGACACTTAAATTTTCCTTGTCCTTCGAAAAAACCGGTTTTCTCTTCAAATTTTATTGCTTGATATTATAAATTCATCCTGATTCTGAGCAGTTTAAGAAAGAATCGATCTTCACTCGAAGCCGATAAAACAAAAATAATGAGCGTGTGTGAGCAGATGAAAGGGACCTCAAAGCCGGTATAAGTTTCCTTCCGTCAACATCTCATTTTGAAACAAAGCCGGTATAAGTTTCCTTCCGTCAACATCTCATTTTGAATCAAAGCCGGTATAAGTTTCCTTCCGTCAACATCTCAAATTGAATCGAGGAGAGCAACACAGAATATTGCCAAATAACAAAGTTATTAATGTCAACTTACTTTAAGGCGTAATCGACCTCAATAATTAGACATTTTAAAGTAACACTTATGAGATCTTCGACATCATTTAACCCTTCCCCTTAAAACAATGAATATTCTTCCGAAGTGTGTTATGACAGCCTATAGCTACTGATTAATCAGTCTAGTGCTAATCTTGGTACGCGACAAAGACTTATAAAGTTTCAAGCTTCCGTAGTTGGATGTCGTGTCTTTTTTTGTAATAAAATGATTACTCGCTGAATGTAACTTCAGTGCGAGTAGGTTGGTTCTTGAGATAGAAGACTGAATCAAAATTGACATAATTATCGCCAACTTCCTGTATCTGTTTCTGAGGGTTGACGAAGCCTTTAGAATGCGTTTGGCTATAATCTCTCTATTACGCAAACACAAAATAAGGCAAAGGTGTTTGCATCGTTTTTGACCGATTAAAAATCCATGTAAGGACCTACTTAGCTTCAAACGAAATTTACAGCAAGCATGACGCGAACAGTTGCAGAACATTGTTTGTAAGAACTGCTGTATGAGTCGCAAAACCACGGACAACAGGTCTATCACAAAGCACTTCAAAGTCAATTAAGAGTTGTCACTTATCACTTCTAGTTTTTCATTAAAAATGTTGGCATCACGTCTGCTGTTTTCCTACCGTTCTGCGGTTAATCAAAAAAAGTCATGCGCCCATAAAAAATCTCGCAGCACGCTC